TAAAAGTTACCAGGAAGAACAATAAAAGCAACATCTAATTTAGTGAAATTCAGGGATTATTACCAAAACATGTTTAAATGTTTTAATGAACACCTGATACATTTCTAGCAAACTATACTGGTACAACTGTTCTCATATCTATTTTATTACTGTTATACTCGTAGTTTGTATCCTAAAGCGTATGCACCTTTTTCTCGTACATGAATTTCGTTCACACTCTCATTTTGAATTTCCAGTTAATAAATAGAAGAAATTGTTTAAATTCCTTTTGATTAATTTTGTGGCAATCATTGATGTCAATGTACCTAACAGAATCAATGAAACAACATGTAATTACTCACAATTAATTGCAAAATGTACTATACAAATGATACTATGATATTAAATACAAAAAAGTATGGAGAGAGGTTACAAATGAAATAATTCTCAGAAGTCACTAACATTTGAACGGATGCCTTCACTGAGCAAATTAGCAATTTTCTCCAGAAAACACCTTAAAAACTCCAAGTAGGTACGGATCAAAGAATTATTGCGTCCTACAGTTATCCAACTCAATGAATGAATACTAAGAGTTTTCTCCTAAATGTTTTATTACCCAATTTTCTTCATTTGACACATTTCAAAATGTGATAATCATTAACGAGGCACACATTGTAGATGAATTGTATCTCAGTCACGAAAACGTTAATACATTTACAGTATGGGGCATAACACTTTAGAAGGAGCCATGTGTTATAGTTTTACACATTTGAAAACATGTTTCCTTTTGTCATGAATCACTTTTGAAAAAAACACTTATTCGTAAATCAAGAACCAAGACAACAGTAGAATTCCTAGCTAAATAAAGAGTGGCTTACACGAATAACGTGGGCGAAATTTGCTTATTATTCGTACAATTCTTTCGTGGAATCTAAGACTAGAGCTATAGGATGCGTTTCCCCAGGATATTATGCCGTACGTCAGGGGGCACTGAACATTCGCAAAATATACAGTACAAGAAGTACTGTGAAGTGAAGGGTGAACGAGTGAAGGCTGACTGATTTAGAAAGAACAATACATACAATAATACAAAGTAGTTGCAGCTAATGATTTCACTTATATGACTGATGAATTCTGTTCCTATAATGCAGTCGTTCATACGTTGTTGTAGTTGTCTAGAAGTTATATTTATTTAAATTTTACCATTTAAAGCGATTGTAAATTTAAACGTCTTTTCTACAAAAATAAATATCTACTAGGGTGTGCAATATAAAAATATAAATAAGTAAATTGAAATACATAATTAATTAATCAAGATGTGATTGTTAACATTTTAAAAACATGTTTGTCACTTTTTAATTGTATTGAACATATTTATATAATAAAAAAGCAGCTTTTAAAAGATGTTTATTTGATGAACACGGTTAATGTAAAACTATTCCTCATTATTTTGTAAATTGTGCACAGTTGAGGCGTTTAGGGGTATAAACGAAAGCATTTGACATTTTATGCGAAATCACATAAACTGGTTTCAACTATAATACGTACCAGCCCACTATATTACAATATGTTTGAATACTCAAGAAATAGCATTAAAATTCAATCTAATAACTGTGTGTACCGTACTAGTATGTACCACTCATTGCATGTAAATAGAGGCATCACATGGCTCTTTCTTATAAAACGTGAAATGTCTGGTAATATTATATTACATATGCTAGAATACCGGAATTAGAATGTTGTTAAAATAAATTCTTTAGATTGGTTAGGCATCAGAGAAGGCTTTCTGGCAATTAATAAATTATTATTATTATTTTTATTACTATTATTATTATTATAGAAGATATGAACGTATCCTCAATGCATATGCATTACTTCAGACCATGCCAAGGAGCCTCTTTAAGAGCAGATTCAACATTTTTGAAGTGATACTTCACGAAACTAATATTTTAATAAACCACTCCTGCACGAAAGTCGACCGTTAGTATTTCTCAGGTTGACAAGAACAGGCAGAGAGCAGTCAAAAACAAAATGCTTACACCCATATTACCGAGTTCAGAATATTATATGCAACCTCGTATTCACAGCGAAGGATTGGAATATTTTCGTATATTTTTTATTATCTCTCTTCGTGATTTCTGTCTTCTTGACATTTCAGTTCGCTCAGTTATTATTTATCACATACCACCGAACATAATTACTTATAAAACCATGAAATAGCTGCCCTGACAAAATTCAACAACGAAAATGTTTTGTTTTTATAATTATATAGTATTAATGCCTATTATATTCCTCCTTAGTTCGTCGATATAGTTTGCATTTTATTCACCAAAAAATTAATTTCTTTGGAATAGTACACTACTACAGATATTATTGCAATAAGCTTCAATGCAGTCATCAAGTAACGAGGAAAACGTTTTGAACGACGATGTGTCAATAGGTAAACTGTGTTCTGTAAGTAAATCAACACCAAAAAGAAACGTAAATTAATCTGTACATCTCCTGCCCTCCCCCTCGCCCTCCGGACGCAAGCGGAACACTTAGTCTGCGGCATTGGAGGCTGGCGGGAGCGAGTTAGCAAATGCGGTACGTAGTTTTGTCCACTGGGCGGTGGCAAACGAAGGTGAGCGCTCTTTTGCTCGTGTTGACTCCCCTCAGACGCGACTCGGCGGCTGCGCCTGACTCCGCCCTCGCGCCGCGCCAGCCAATCCGCGCACTTCTGTTCTGGCATCCACGGTACCGACCCACGACAGCTTCCATACAAGGCTGCGATGACGAAGAGGATTGCATTGCACCACCTTTCACATATAAGCCGAAAGAAAAACGAGAGAGCTTGAAACAAAAAATGCCTATTCAAGAAAAAAAAACAGAAGTGCTTTTTACTTTCTTCGTATGATCACTCGTTTTGGATCATAAGCACGCAAACCGAGGAAAGAAAATGCACAGTACTGCGATGTCAGGACACCGCCACAGCTCGCATCTCGTGCGCGTTCCTCCCACCGCACCAGCGCCCGCGCCCGCGCCCGCGCTCCCGCCCCGTCGCCCCCAACCACCGCCCACGCGCCGCCGCCCGCGCCGCCGCCCGCGCCTCGCCACCAACAGCGGCACTCTTGGCGCGCGCGGTCGTGCCATCTGATAGTCTTTGTTCTTCCACATAAATACTCGGGCGGGGAAAACATGGAATTCCGAGTAACGGATTGTCTCCTGTTGTCTCTTTTCCAAAACAACGAAACAAATTTGAGAAACTAAAATCAACTACTGGGAAACACTACTAATCTAATACGGCCAAAAGAATAAGGACGTACACGCCTTAATGAACGGACGTTCTGAAAATAGTCCGAATACAAAGGCAGGATAATTGTAGGAAAAGAATTGAAAATGCATTATTTTTTACGGAGGACATTAAGAAGTGCTATTTGTGGCAATATTTTCTCCAAACATTTTACATAAATCGGAGTGTTGAGAATTGTAAAGATGCTAACTGTGTTTGTGTCATTTCACATTGCAACAAAAACAAAGTTTGTATTTTGTATGTCTTATTGAATGTTTTAAAAATGTGGGAAATATTCACTGATGTCCAAGTCTAATATTTTTACAAGCAAAATATCTATTGAACTACAATCATAAGTATCATTTGTATTTTTAAACAATTTTTCTGAAACATTGTTATTAATGTACAAAATTACAATATAGCGTAATATCTTCAAAGATTCGCACACTAATTGTACGATATAATTCGATTCAGACTGATGTTTATTCAACCAAAATAGCGAAAAAGTAGAGAGTAGTATTAAACAAATTTGTTATTATTTTCCATCTAGTTAGTCTCATTTTCTCATTGAGATTATAACCTTTTTGTCATCACGATCGACAATCTCTTCAAAAAGATTTACCCTTTGCAGTTTGTCTTCTTTAGGAAAAATACACACCGGAAGACGTTATTTGCAAATAGATAGCCCATAATAATAAATAAATATTTGATAAATAAGCTTTAATTTTTTTATTTCAGGTTGATTCAGAGGATTTGTTTCTTTGTACTTGCCCATAAGTGCCGGGAGGACATGTAGCTGCTAATCTTGCGAATAACGACTATTGCCTAACTATCTACATCGCTGCTGATTAGCTGAAAAGATGGATTTTTCTTTTCAATACGTTTGTCAATCGAAACGGGTGGGAATTCAAAAACGTGTTTGCCACTCATTGCATTTGAAATGGATATTCAGGTCTAGCTAGCTTCAATACTTTGAACCCATTTCAAGGCACATGAATTTCTTTCACTGTTGGCTTTTCATTGTGTCACAGCGAAGAATTGCATGGTCTATTAACAAGAAATTTGTCACCAATTTTAACTAGATATCAATGCTGAAGATTTCAAAACGATTGTTGTGCATCGCTAGGTTTTTTAATGTTTCAATAATTACTTTCCTGTTGATTACCTTAGAAACACAAATCGTTGTACACAATATCTTTACATTCTCTCTCCGGAACTATTTTACCTTAAGTAGAGACACATCTTTTTACCTTCAATTCTTTCTTTATGTTCCTATATTCTAATATTTTGTAGCGACATTTACTTTTGCTCTTTGCAACTGATATGATATAATCTATGCTTCCTATTGTCTTCAGCAGGAGATGGTACCTTTTTAATATTTTGGTTCAAGTGGGTTTCCAGATCCTTATCACATTTCACTGCATTAGAAGTGTACTAACAAAAAAACAACAATACAGCGCGCCAGTTTAATGCACAATATACCATAAGAAAACAAGCTTATCTCAATTTCGTTAGAACAGATAGAACTCTTTTAATGCTCAATCCTCAATTATTAAACGGCATGGAATTAATTGTCATTAATGGAAGTCTAAATTTATTTCTACATTGACCTGCGTCCGTTAGTTTAAAACAAGTGATACGCCTCGGAAAGAACGGATGTGGCAAACAAACCATGCTACAGCATTCCTCAGCACATACATGGCTGGTTGACCCCGCCCCAAGGCAAAAGCCGCAGCAGCTATTTCCTTACCGTGATCTGCTTCGCCGAACTGCTCCGATCCCGGGCCGCCCTCCAGTTGCACGATGACCTGAAACACTTCACCGATATCGGTGTGGAGATCCTTGCCCTCGGAGCGCCGCTGCAGCTGGTGCAGCTGCTCCATCTGCAGATGCTTGATGCTGCGCACGTGCTGAAGCAGCGGCAGCTTGGCCCGCGCAGAGAAGCCGCACAGGGCGCAGTGGTAGATGCGCGCGTCCTGCACGTGCTGGTCGGCCACGGCCGCCGCCGCCGCCGCCGCCGCCGCCGCGCGCTGGGCCGCGCCGTTCTCGTGCTCCCGGAGGTGCGCGAACAGCATCACACTCGCCTCGTGGCGAGGCCCGGCGGCATGCAGCTGCAGCTTGTGCGCAGAGTTGGTGTAGTAGTCGCACGCGTGGCATCGCACTTGGATGCCACCGGGCGACGCTAAGTATTTCAACTTCCACTCGTTGCGCTGGCCGCCCTCCTTCACGTGGTTGGCGTGTTGAAGGCGTTGCAAGTGTTTGTCGGTTTTGCAGTGTAATTGGAAGTTCGCTTTCAAGTTGGTCTTATAGGAACAAAGCTTGCAGACGTAATGGCCGGACACAACGGCGAGTATCTCCTGCTCGCGAACTTTCGTGCGATCCGCTGACAAGTGAAGCGACAACGCTTCCAAAGAATCGGTCGAAAACATGTTGCAAACGCAGCATTGAAATAAGTGCTTGGGGTTGGGATCGGCTGGCTCTGGAGGCGGCTCCATGGTCTCGGGATTGAGTCCCATGTCCACATGCGGAGCGAGCTCCGGCGGCATGTGTGGCGGCAGTTGGCCCCCAGTCATCATTTGGATGAGCAGCGCCTGATTGTAGGCCATATCTGCCAAAGCGGCTTCGGTGTGTGGAGGCGGCTTGTCACCGGGGAGTGTGAGGCCCGGGTGAAAATGCAAAAGAGATTCGAAACTGAGAGGCTGAGGGTGGTGCTGCGACTGCTGTTGGTGATGGTGTTGGAGTGCAGTGAGTGTTTGCATGTGTTTTACGTTCTGCTGCAAGACCATCATGTTATGGGTATGCTTTTCACTCGTCATGTGAATGCGCAGATTGCGAGCCACGTTCGTCTCGTAATTGCAGACGTCGCAACGGAAGGTGGGCTTGGGCTTCTGGTTCGGCGTTGCGCCGGACAGCGGGTGCGAATGATGAGTGAGCACGCCCTGGCCGCTGTTCGGACTGACCAAACCTCCTTTACTGTGGTGCTGCGCGGATGGAGACGTCTGATGCTGGGGATGGTTTAAACCAGGCCCCGAAATGGCAGACTCGGAATTAGGAACACCTCCGTTTTGAAGCTCTTGCATATTGTTAAGATGCTTGTCTGATTGCATGTGTATACTCAGGTTACCTTTCGTAGTTGTTGAATAATTGCACACTTCACAACGATACGGTTTGTATCCACACGTGTAAGTCTCGCCTCTTGCCAACCGTGGATGCGGCTGCCCCGCGATACAATAAATACAAGACGTCTCCGTTTCCGGATGTTTCTCTTTCATGTGTATTTCTAAAGTCTCCTGGTATTTGTAGTGCCAGTTGCATTTAGGACATTTCAGTGTTTTGCACGAGTTGCGTGAATGCATGCCCGCTAGCGGGCCACCCACGCCCCCGATTCGCGAGGAGTTGAGGATGAGTTCACATTTCGCACACTCGGCACCGCTCGGCCGGCCGCCTATGTGATCGGGGCACACGCCGATGGTCGTGCCCGTCAGAAAGTTGGGCGGTGGCACCGGGTACGGGAGAGGCGCGCTGGGCACCGCGGCGCCGCCCACTGCAGCGGCTGCGGCGGCGGCAGCGCCCGCCACCGCCGCGGCGGCCGCAGACAGCAACGGGCTCAGGGTGGAGCCTGGCGACGGGCTCGTCCCCGGCGAGCTGCTGCTGCGCCCGTTGTTGGCGGAGAGGGGGCTCTTGCGCGTCAGGTCCATCACGCTGCCCACGCTGCTTTGAACGCGGCTGTTGTTCACGTTATGATTGTTATTATTAATACTACTATTATTACTAGAACTACCATTCTGTGGTAGGGAGACCGGAGTCTCAGGAACATGTTGATTATGGACGTTGGACTTCTCCACTGAGGAAGCAATGTCCTGCGGTTGATGGCTGCAAACTTTCAAACCTTCCGCTTCTAAATGATCTCTTGAATTATTCTCAGCTACATTTCTAGAGGGAATGGAGTCGGCGCAATCACGGGAATCGGACGTGACATCGACGAGACTGCCCGGAGACGCGGCACGCGCGCCTGCTAGATCGCGCACAGTCGCGTCCACGGGTCTATCGTCCACGCCCGAGTTGAAAAGGAGCTTCTGGTCCTTAGGAACGTGCTGCCCCGTACACAAAACACCCTTGGCGACCGACGTGGCATCACTCATAGTGTAGGATGGCGGCGGGGGACGCACAACGGCACCGCAGCTGTCCCGCGTGTGGCGTTTGCCTGCCAAGTCACCGGTCGCCAGGGGGTTCAGAGGCTCTAGGAACGACACCAGCGGCTCCTTGTCTTTACCGACACACTGAATTATTGCGGAAGCGTTTTTATGACCCAGGATGTCCTTCTCATCCTCTAGAAGAACCACATTGTGGTCACCCATGGCATGAGCCACAAAAGATTTCGCAAAACCAAAAGAAAGTTTACAAATGAAACACATAAGGATGGGTTTAACAGGAACTGATGAACAATCTCTACTACTATACTTTTCATTTCTTTTGTTCTCTTCGCAAGCGGGGATTTCACATTCATTGCGCTCCCCGACCTTTCGAGAACCACCGTTGTCCGTTTTAGACTCAGACTTTCCATCTTCATTATCACCACTTTTATCACGAACAGTATAGACCCTGTAACTATGCATAATCGGTACTTCAGGAACTATTTTTTTATCTTGTAAGATAGTACTTGTATAGGCTGTCGTGCTCCCATAGAGAGTGCTGTAGAGCGTTGCGTTTCGCGACACATAAAACGCATTCGCTATTTGTGGAAACGCCTGCACTTGTGGCGGAAGACTAACACCGCGCCCATCCACGATACAACCGTCACCAATAATATGTGGTAGGTCAAGGCTGGATGCATCTTCTTCGCTCAGCTCACTATCTTCGATTATATACGCAGAGCCGTCTGGGTTGTACACGATTTTCCCATCGAACTTTTCAACGTCACTGGTGCCACACGAATCATCTACGTCGGGCGTGAAAGGGGCCGACGGCTCATCAGCAGTTTCAGGGTTAGGAATATTCGCAGGAAGCCGGGAACGTGCGTCTTTTCCATCACACACCTCACCGTTGTCAACGTCCTCGTCACCATCGCCACCACTGCCTCCACTCGTGAGTGCTATCGCGTGCACAACCCCGTCGTCCGCTTCGTCGTCGGAACAGCTACGCGAGGACGTGCTCCCGTTGCCAGCATTCGCGACCCGCGACGCACACTCCGCCGCATCGCTGCTTCCCCTTCGAAGACAAAGTCTCTCCCGATCGCGCGCCGCCAAAAACTTGGGCGCTGGGACAGACGTGGAATCGGGACCCGGGGGGGATAGAGAGCCGGAGACGGAAGTGGAGACGGTGAGAGAGACGCGTGTCGGGTCGGGAGCGGGGTTGGCAGGCACAATGCAGCGCTCCACGTCGTCGGCTCGGGCGACGGCCACCATAGCCGCGGGCAGCGACGCTGACATCTCCTCCTCGGGGCTCATGGCTTTTTCCTGCTTGCACGAGCTACCGGGCGCCAGGCGCTCTTTAAGACGCTGTCGCTTGCGTTGGCCGTGCAAAGGATCCGACTGCAAATCTTCGTCAGGATCTAGTGGTGCCCCAGGGATGGAGGTGGGCATGGCGACCGTCGGTTCAATAGGCGCTGATTGTCGTCAACCATCACATGCTGACGAACACGCTGCATGTAACCTGCAACAAGGAAACAAGGCATCTTTCAAAACTTAAATTCTTTCACAACAAAAAAATACAGAATTATCAGTAAAACTTATACGTATTATATATTATACATATACACACACTACGAAACAAAGTTTATTCGGAGAAAGGTTTCTAATTCTCGGCAAGCTCCTCATATTTTCAGTGAACCAGAGGCAACTCCATCCCAAGAAAACGGAAGCGCCGATTGATAAGAGCGAATAGAGGATTTTTTTTTAAATTTCTCGCATGCTATGTACGTTTTGGGAATGCTTCAGCAAACAACCGCAATTTTTCGGCATAAAAAGTCGTATTGTAGATACCCGACACACTCAACCCCAAATCATGTGGCAACATCGCTGAACGAAGCTTCACGTTATTCCAGACCAACTAATCTCTTCAATGGTCCTTCGTCGGTCTTCACGAACGATTGCGCGGATTGTTTCGACATTTTCATAAATTCTGGAGGTTGACGGACCTCCAGAATGAGGTTTATTATCAAATAACATTTCACCTTCTTTTAAACGAGAAAAGTATTTGTACTCGTGCGTTATTCCCATAGCACTGTCCTCAAAAGCTAGTTTTAACATCATATCACTTTCTGCTGCGCTTTTCCCAAGCAAGAAGCAAAATTTCACGGCAATGCGTTCTTCACTTAAATCAACCGTTGAAAAAAATGAGCCAGCAAAACTGCTTTTACAAAACAAATTGCTTTGGAAGAACAATGGCTAACCATACGTACTACATTAGCTCCGCCAATCGGAGCATTATTCCGGTCATTTTTGGTTACACATTTGTAAAAACGATTTTCATTATACTTGATATTCCCCAATCTCTGGCTGATGTTGCGGACCCTTGAATTTGAAACCGATATTTTAATAGTTTTTTTTTACATAAAGCTTCAGGGACATTTTCGAATTTTTCTCCAATAGGTTCATAATTTTTAAATTATTCTTAGTCCTCGAATAGCGTAAAGGACGCTTTAAAAATGGTTCAGGTGTAAGTTTCGTTGAAATATCTTACTTCTGTAAAATTTCTAAGATTCAAAATTTTTTCGTCTTCTCATAACTTCAGTGTTATCTTCAGTTACGTGACTCACCATATACAATGTGTGTGTGTTTGTGTGTGTGTAGGGTGAGTCACGTAACTGTAGCACCACCTGTAATGTTTGAACGGTTGACGTTATTGCAATGCAGTTTCTCCGGAAATTCATGAGAGAATGAGACCAATTGATACATATATTGGTTTCCCTGTTATCGCTTGTATTTTACAAGATATTGAGATAACTACGCTTTTTTCAAATGGAACTATACATATTATTTGTCTATTATGACGAGGGTAAAAACACGAATACAATGATATAGAGATTGTTATATTTAGTTCAGCATTTCTTTAGTAAATTCGAATTGTTTGCGATCCATGTTCAACGGATATTGTAACGCCTCGAATGCGATTGGCAGGGAGAGCGCAGCGTGACCTTGGGTGGTAG